TGCTTCCTTCTTCTTGTCACTATTCGCTAATCGTAGTGCATAGGCGGTCACCGCCAAGGCATATGAGTCGTTCTTCAGACTGTCGAGATGCCTCTCCAAGAAGGCAATACCATTGTCGTTACGAATCTGAACTGAGTTCCGATAAATGAATAACATCGATCTTTGGTTACTTCTTTACCTGCTTACTCATCTATTTTATATTTAATTATTATAATTATTTTAGATATTCAATTTGATTTGTTTCTATTACTCCAAACAATCATCATTAGACATCTCTCTATTAGAATCGAGTCCGTACCCCATTTTCCAACAGTGCCACCACAACATATGCCGTTAGGCCGATACCACCTTCACTGGCTCCTCCTTGCATATCCTTGTGGTGAACTTCACCATGTTCAGCAAAAGCGCCAGTTTCCTGCAAAAGAAGTTCTTTCCGACGAAAAAGTTCTTCACTTAGATACATTTATGGTGAAAGTAGCATTAATAGTGATAGTAATAAAGTGGTAATGCTAACAGTAGCGAATAACAAGTGATAAATAATGGTGATAACCACTGATAATTAAAAACAAAACAAATGATAAAAACAAGTGATAACAAACGATAACAAAAATGATACATCGATTACACCAGTAATTGTAGTAAGTGATGATAACGAGGTGGGATAATTCTTAATAATAAGTGGTAATGACTGATAAAAATAGCTGATAGCAGTCAGATACAGCAATAAATTAGAAATAACGATAAAAATCAATGATCATAACGAATTAGGCGCCTTTTTTTCTGAAACAACGCTTACACAACGTACCATTTGTTGTCCATTGAGGAATGCTATGCTCTTGGTGAGTACGGTAGGATCGACAAATATGTATGCCCGAGCCTGAGCGAATGATCGAACCACAAAGGCTGTCAACCAAGTGGATCCGAACTTGTCGCTCTCGCCAAAGGCCGAGAATGAGTTATCGTAGCGTCTGAAAAAGGACGAGGCGATTCGTGAAAACTGTGCAATTGAACGTCAAGGGATGGGTGGCACTTCCTTACCTGTACGTGAGTTCTCGTTGATAGCCGGCTTCCATGAATTTTACTGCTTTTGCCTCGATCGTTGGCTCAGCCCGATTCGTAGCTTTTAGGTAACGTAATACGACGATGTTCGGGACAAAGTTTAGCATGTTCTGTTCACCGCATCCATAAGGCATACGTACAAGGCCTTCGATGTTTGACAGTACTGGACCCATGATGTCACCTGCACGGAAATGCTGTGACTTTTGTAAGTTCTATTAGAAAATTACTGTAGCCACAAGGCACATATTACGGTAATCCTTCGTGAGGGTACTCCTAGGGGATGGGGGAAAAGGTGAAGAGTTCTAGCATCGTCTCCGAAGGAAGCATTAGCCCGAACCAACTCGTGATCTCCTCGCGCTGAGGAACACGCAGAAAGGATAAACAATTCTAGCCGCCCAGCCTGTTTTAACGCAAACTGGGTCCTTAGGTCTTTGTATAAAATAGCATCACTTTTCGAAAATTCCTTTTTTTTCTTCACACATCCAACTTCATCTGATTTGTTAGGTTTTTATAGATCAGAAGTTATGTAGCAAATCAATAAATCGATCTCACCGACTAATTCGAATCGTGCTTTCTGAGAGCCCTCAACCACATCACTTGGCCACATCATTTGTACGACTTTTTCGAAATCTGTGCCATTGTTGAGATCGATTACCACCGGTACGTTACGGTCGACACGGTACCCTTCAGGCTGAAGTCAAAAAAGTAAACAAAATGGCAAAAAAGTCAACTGACAGTGGAAAAAGAAAAAAAATAGAGAAGAAAAAAAGTAGAAAAAGTGAGCAATCGACGGCTCAAATCTCTGAATTAAAAAGAATGTGGAGAGCTTACCTCCACTCTGAGCGGTTCTTCTACACCGTCACCAGCCTGAGCCGCTTGAGCCGTAACAGTCAACTTGACCATTCCGATTTCGGTCGGTACAATAGGGAAATAGACGGCTTTCGAGACTCCACCACCTGGCACAGACACAACACGGACGTTGTAGTTACGTTCAGCAGCGTCACGGCTGAAATACTCGGAAGTTGATCCGTGAGGTGAGTTTGGAACTGATTGATTGAAGTCTGCCGTATCCATTGAGAAAGAAAACTCCGAGGTAGCCCAGTTTAGTGGGTATCGGAAATTTCCGAAATCTCCGATGGAGTTTGTAATACGAATTTATGGGTTCGACATTTTCCTACCTTTTTCGAATGCTACCGTCCTTATTCAAGAAATCGAAACCAGAGCTGTCGTCGTGCTTCAACGTGACCGTAACCTGAAAGTCGATTTGATTGATGCAGTCGAAAAAGGCTTCCCAAAATCTAAACTTTACATCTTGTTCTTTTTCCATGTAGTTGAACACCAGCACTTGTAGAGCAAACTTTTCACCACGTTTCACTGAGTACGGTAGGTTTAGACGGATGAAGAACGGACGGAACACTCGCAACTGGAAAAGGCAGTGAGAGCCTGTAGATAAAAAGCTTCAAAAAATACATACACAACAGGAAAACCCACAAATAAAAAGTAAGCATGGAAATTTTTAAAAAAAAATGAATGGAAAACGAATAGCCGATGATAAACAAGCCAAATTGCTGATGTCTCAAGAACAGGAAAGCTATAGGTCAACCACTGTTTAGATCTGGTGATAGACTTGAGAGGTACCTTGGATGTGGTCGGTGCAACACCCAATCCAGAATTGTCGTTAATGGCAAATGCACTAGCCACCCATGAAGTGATTGTGTCGGGTGCCATTGATTGGTACACTGCTTCTCCGTTGGAACTAAAAACAAGTAATTTATTGAGCAATTTTGGATAAATTATTTGTATCATAGGGCTGCATTGAGAACAGCCACTCACTTTAACTAGGTTTAAATTCGATCCCGCGAAAAATTACCCTTCAAAAATAATGAGTACTCCTGTTCCTAGAACTATAATACTGTATTGAATGCGTATGTAGACGCAGGTTTAGAAAATCTTCAACAATTCATCTTTTTTCAGGTAAATTTTAAAAAGCCATGGGAGAGTGCTCCAACAGTATATTTATGAGACAGATCGAACAGCCAAAGATATGTTTACTCCACGCCATCCAATACTAAAAGCTTCTACCGTATCTTTACTTCGTAGAAACTACGTTAAAGACCATACTGTATGCTAATCTATATGATTTTATTACTGTATCTCCTGCACCACGGAAGACCCACCTATTTAATCACTACATATCTGAAGCCAGGTTATATCCCTCCGTTTCGGTTAATTTTGGCATAAAGAAGGGATCCACATATCGACGGGTAGGCTCTAGTTACTTCAGTAATTGATTGAACAAATTTTTTTGATTAATAAATTTTTCCTTTTACGCTATCAATTAATAATTGCCCTGGAAAGCAGTTGTTCTCAATGGATCCCAATAATAAGTGTATTTCATAAGTACCACTAATGATTTTCCTCCCCGGCTTCTCAGATTTTCAGTTACATTGGTCTACCTTGTCTGAGGTACTTTTTTAAATAAATTTTTCCAGTACACTTTAAAAAAGTGAGAACACGATCGGTATATATTTCTACTCATAATCTAATCAGAATGCTTTCGAACAGTTGGAATTTTGTTTCTAACGTTGCTTTATTAATCTTAAACTATACTTTTACTTGGATCAAGTGAGTTATTCACCGATTTCCATGAATTTATCTTTTCCAGAAAGAAGTTCTTCTATCCAGACAAGTAGAGGCGTTGGTGCTAACTTCATTTCATCAATAACTCTACAGATGTACCCAATTTTTTAGACCATTCTTTATTAAGGCAGTTCTTTGGCCTATTCTACCGTAACATCTGTCATGAACTACTACGCAGACGATTTGTCCCACCTTGTCCATGTGTCCAACATGATCCATGTATCACGGAAATCTCTCCTGTAGCGTACAGGATAAAGGAGTGACCGTTCTCTGTCTCTTACTGCAACGTTTCGTAGCAGTATCTCCGATATACTACCCCGTAATTCGGCGTAATGAACTGGAATTCTCATTGGGAACTCACTGGTTTTTACCGTGATCACTAGAATTTGTGAGTATGACTTTCTACTGGTAACTTCTACTGGTGAGAACTGTTGAATGAACTGAGATTGGAGCCGCTAACTATTCAAATGCACCTGTGGCAAACTCTATTCCTACCGTAGTCATTCACTACTTCTCTAGTTGTGTGCCGAACTCAAAACGGAAGGCTACGCATTGATAATGGAACGAAAGCCGAAAATCTGCGGGAGAAGTTGGGATGTAACAGTCCTGAGGGGAGATTTTCATAGGTTTTCGTAAAAAGTGGAAGACTTAGGGATGAAGACAATAACACGAAGTCTCCGTGAGGGGAGAAATTTCTGATTTAGGTCAAGAATTTCGAAAAAGTAAGTAGTTTTAATGGGAGTTCGCTGTTGATTGGCAATTGAGATGACAAGTTGAATTCTCACCTAATCTCAAAATAGTCAAAGAGCCATGTTTCTGGAAACTTCATCCTAATCACTAGAGGAACCGTAGAAGCTGAACTCTTCTCAGTCGTAACACTAAGTCCATCATCTGACATCAGACGATCAGCATCAAATGCCATCCGATCAGCAATTCGATAATAAATCACTAAAATCTTTGAATAATCCATATGGCGATGTGTATGGCGTGCTGACCAATCGTCACACTGCAAGGCACACACACAGACTCATTACCCACTCACATTCCAAGGATGCACAACAATTTTTTTGGGAGGTTAGTTCAATACAAGAAGAAAAATTCAATAGTTTGGAGCCGTACAGGTACCGTACTTTCCGTACCAAACTTTGGATATATTAGTCTCGCTGGACGGAAATCGGTTTGGTGCCATCGATCGAACACCTAAGAGTGAGCCATGCAGTCTCAATGGCTTGATTTTTGTCTTGTCTCAGATTTTCAGAGCTACAGTGGCAACAGAACTGCTGGAATCCAAAGACATCAACTAAAAAAGGAAGACTCAGACTGCTATTTCTCTAAATACTCCCTAGGGTCGAAAAGCTCTACCAGAGCAGAATGAAAGAGCCTGGTCTAAAGCGGGAATGTAAAGGTGACGGGTGTGAGCTGAAAGGGAATGTAATTGAGTAAGCAGAAAATTTTGTTTTTCGGGAAGAGTCTCAGTACTCAGAACAGGTTCAATTGATGTTACGACATGGGAGGAGAAGCTGATGCACGCATTGACCAAAGGTAGCTCTTCCAGATCCAGTCTCAAACTGTAAACGAAGCAAAGAGCACGAAAGAGCACCAAACAGCTTATAATCCGCAGATAGGATCCCTTCAACATAATGGTCAAGAATGTCATTGAGAGAGAAAAAGAAAAGTTCTCCAACTACATTACCAGCTGTCCGGCTATACTTGCCTTGCACTCAAACTGATGTAAATCCATGACTCAGGGAATCTACTTCGAATCGCAGTAGCGGTAGCAGGAGCAGGAGCAGGAGCTCCTACTGTAGGTGGTGCTTCGTCTTGAGTGACGACAGTAATACCTTCATGATCCACGGATTCAGCGAAAACTACCGAATCTTCTAACAACACTAAAATAGTAATCTCTAACAACGGCGAACAGGAATCACAACAGAAGCAGAAAGCTGAGGCAACATGAACGTCGACGGTTAGTCCAAGTAGGTGCGTGTGTACGATATATGTGATTTTGACTTTGAAACGAGCTCTATTCAATTCTGAAAATGAGCTAGCTAGACCAAGCCTTCAGCATTGTTACATGGTAATAAACTTGTTTAGGGAGGTTGGGACTGTTCACCTCGAAAACCATGTATGGGGTGAATACCCGAGGCAGCTACGATGACAGTTAAGACATGAGTGTGGCCCATATCAGAGCGGGTTGGGGACTTCATCTTTTGGACTTTACCTGTAGGATTCACACGTGAGAAAGAGAAAAGAAGGATGCGGAGATCGATGTTTTCTGTATTTTCCATTATTAATGGTTATCTTGAAGTAATATTNAAAGCTGAGGCAACATGATCGTCGACGGTTAGTCCAAGTAGGTGCGTGTGTACGATATATGTGATTTTGACTTTGAAACGAGCTCTATTCAATTCTGTAAATAAGCTATATAGCTAGACCAAGCCAGCCTTCAGCATTGATTACATGGTAATGAACTGGTTTAGGGAGGTTGGGACTGTTCACCTCAAAAATCATGTAGGGGGTAAATACCCAGAGCAGCTACGATTTCAATTGAGAGCCAAGAGTGTGGTTCACACCAAAGCGGGATTGATCAAAGGCTGGGGACCCCGTCTTTTGGACTCTATCTGTAGGATTCACGTGTGAGAATGAGAAACGAGAAGAAAAAAATGCGGAGATTGATGTTTTTCTGTATTTTTTTATTAGTAATGATAATCTCGTAGTAATATTTCCGTTTTCGGCTAGTACTGGGTAAAATCAGCAGGTGAAGGGAGACCAGTGGAAGAATGATACCCAGATATGCATCATTCTGCCCTTTTCTGTCATCGTATTGTCTACCTTAACGGAAACCAACGATAATGAGAAGAACGAGAAACTCGGATGTCGCTAGTTACTGATGTCAAGTACCAAGCCCTCACCCAACGCCAAATGAGGCGAAAATCGGACGTTCAGGAAAATTCTGCCGTATTTTCAATGCCGGCGGCAACGTTCCAAACTCCAACGAGGTAGCCCTACCTCGAGAGCCCATGAGTATTCGTCGATAGACGAGTTTGTTTACTGTAAATGCTCATTTTCAAGAAGTAACAGTGTGGAGAAAGAGCATCATGCTGGTTGCTGTTATGTAGGATGGATAGATATAGTTAGGAGCTCCGAGCCATACGGTTGATTAGAATGCCCCGGAAAAAGGTGAAAGTATGATATGATAGACATAACTAGGTGGGGAGCAACTTCGAAACTTTTTACATAGGTAAGTTCAAATCGATACTTTTCTACCTCAAAAACAATTAGTCCGTATCAAGACTATTTCTTCAGTGGCCCTTTTGTCGAAAACAACGACAACAAACAACAATGGTACGTACGAAAAAACAACACACATCCCCGAATTGCAAGATTTTAGACTCTCTTTTGGCTCTCCCAAACGTTTGCCAGTAAGTATAAATAAAGAAAAAAAGAACATGCTGGTTCATTTGATTCTTTTTGTTCATAAACTCAGTGATCATTACCGTCAAGGTTTCATTAGTGTAATGGGTTAGCACGCTGCTGGGAAGGCATAGGCGCATGTTCAAATCCTGTCCATTACCAAACCTGTGAGTCCTGTTTATCTCATGGCCGAGCACCGTTATGATACTCTTCTCCAAGATTTTTTCTTAGAAACAAATCAAAATTGAGTTAATGCTAATTTCCAGAAGGAATCGTTGTATGACGCACCCGGCATCCATTGAAGCGAAGATCCAAGTCTCTGGAAACTCCGTACGAATTTCAATTTTTCGCCTAGGAGGTTTAGGTGTCGGTTGTATTGGTGGTGGTGGTACTATAGGGTGATGGATAGCACGAAATGAAGCAGGGCTCATAAAGTAAATTCCTGAATAACTTTGAATGTGAAGTATCGTACTTGACATCCACCGTTAATTTGCAAAGCAAACACCGTAAACAGGGTCAAAAGAATCTTGGAGGTTTCAAAAGCCAAGCCGCCACTCTGAACAGAAAGAAATCCACTCTTCAATCTTCCTCTCGAAAGTAGGTAAATTACCACTCAGCAACATGCGTTACCCATCCGTAAGTGACAGAAGTAGCCAGAGAGTTACTGGTTAGAGGCCATTTGTAAGTCAATATCAGAGAATTACTTAAATTCTCACAAATCGATGACAAAAAAGTTCTTCAAAACACTCCAGACAGTGAGTTTTAGACAGATTCTCCTCTTTGGGTGGATATGGTGAATAGAGGTGTAGAACGGTAGACCTGATCCGCCCATCACGCGCCGCAAAAACTAGCTAGTTGTCTCGTCGAGCTGCGTATCATTCCGGACTATCGGGCGTCACCAGGAATACTATGACGGCCACGTATGGCTGTATATAGATTGCTCACGTGGATTTTCCACGAAATTGAAAGCTATCTCAAAAAGAGAAATGGCAGCGTACACTTAGAAACAAAAATTCAGTACTGGCACTAGGCTCCTACAGTAACCCCCAAGCTTTCCCACTACGCAGACTCTTGTCCTTACCCAAGGCCCCATTTCGACGCGTCGTATATGTGACGGATGTGAAATTGCGTAAAATGGGATTATGCCGTGCCGGATTACTACAGCAGCCGAGTGCCATCCTAAACGTCTGTTTCTGTAGCTACGCTTGGTACACTTGGTGCAATATTTCGTACGGATTACGGTAAACCTACTCTTGCACAAACTCATACTTCAGTTCACCTTGTCTTGAATAGAAAGCTCTTCGTCTCCTTTTTTGGCTATTTTTTTCTGTCGCACTGCCTTTCTAACCAAAATATCCCCTCATTTCTCCCATCTAATCTGTTCTCCAACCCTTGGTAGGGGCAAGACGAAGGTTATCTGGCAACCAAAGTTTATGGCGAAAAGATATTTTTTAGGACAATCCCATGCGTAGTTCTATCCTTTTACGTACCTAACACTGATTGAAGCGAAGATCCAAGTTTCGGGAAATTTTGAACGAATTCGAAAAGTCGATGCTGTTGGTGGTTGTGGAGGTGCCATGGGTAGAGCTAATTCGGGGACCATCTGTGGCGCCATTGGAAGTGGGGCACCACCAGTCGCCTTCATTAGGATAAACCCTCAATAAAACCCGTTCTTTAATAGAACAAATCCCAACTCTTTTTACTATTAGAAAGCAGTTTAGAAGACGTTAATCAAAGCAAGTTATGGTGAAGAGCAACAGCAAAAGCCAGTGCACTCCCACAACCTGAAAAACAAATGTTCCGATGAAAAGTCGTGAAGGACTTTTCGACACATTTTTTCACCCGTAAGAGGGATGAAATTTTAAGGAAAGGAATTGGGAGCTAAGAATATCGCATCATGAATTATAGCTTTTTTTCTGTTGTCGGTCAAGCAAAGAACGGACAATGGTTAGAGGCGCCGCTACCGTATCTGTGTCTCAAGGATCAAATCCCACATTGAAATGCCCCTCCCCCACCAAGGCAATGCCTTCTCGTCAGAGTTCTGAGTGTAGTACAAACTTCCATGGGTGAGTGGGAAATTGATGGACAAACTTGATTGTATCCGTAAAGAAAGCCCAGTTCGATACAAAGGGATACTGCAGGATACTGTAAGGAAGAGGAAGGAATGTTACGGTGCTACTTGAGATAATACGGTGTCTACGAGTATTGACATCGAAAGAAATAATTGAAGTGCTCCAGATGAAGTAGTGCTGGTGAGTTTGGGGATTAAATAGACAATCATCACATGTTTTGGGACCGGGGTGGCTAAACCCGATGATGAATTT